ACACATTGATATAAAATGCTGTGACTTGTGTCCGAGCTTTTTCAGACTGTTGGTGTATTTTAAAGTGACATTATGGATTATGACAGAAGGATTCAATAGTACATGTAGGTATTTAGACCATAGAATTACGGCCGCATCCGGTTGTCATTTAAAATTTTATGACGTCATTTAGGACAATTAACAATACACGACCGACAAACCTTCCAAACATCCTGGCACAGTAGATACATTTAGTTTATTTTAAACTCACATCCTTGTTTATATATACCATTAATTAGAACATTACGTGTGTACATGTTGGCATGCCTGTGGTTAATGAGTGAGTGGCAGTGTTGTTCCGGATACAGAAACAGAACACGACACGTGCACAAGAATTCCGTCACTCGAGAAACCACGTTTCTTTGAGTGCATACAATTCCGGAAATTATTTTCTTTTGGCCCATTTAGGAATACAGCCGGCATTTTAACTCCGTTATTATTCATTCACCAATAACTTTGTACTGACGAATACCTTAAATTTAAGTCAATAGCAGTCATTTAGCACTCCAGTGGATCAAGCATTTATTTCTCAGAAACAACTCTTGTTGTCCAACGATGGCGGTCACGCAGACGTGCATGTCTGTCCTGACGACGCCCCGATGTCCGTAACACAATTGCCTCGTCCAACTAATGACTTTATGTTTGCTACATGAAACGTATGTTTAACCTTTAACATCTAGAGCGTATAATGGTTCTGTTTTTTAGCTGTTCTATGTGCGAGTTCTCACGACCTATTTTGTTATAGGTAATAGTACATTTAAATGAGCATCTGCTTTTTTATTTTTTGTTTTTTTTTGTTGTTTTTTTGTTTTGTTTTGGTAAATCATAACACTTATAAGACATTCGTTCACAAGATAATGATGTTTTTCGAGATGCTGATTTTTAGTTTTCCTTTATATTCAAAACATCCGACAGTTACCACAATTTCTGAAAAAACAAAATAGACCATTTCTTTTATCCCACTCTTTCATAACCACTTCTTTACAGAAGTTCAAATGATGTAAAATTATCAAGGAATTGAGGTTTACATAATATCATAAATCTATCAAAGCTGGTTAGTCTCATCTGGAGAAAAAAAAGCTGACACAAAGTACATACCTTGTATATAAGAGCTAATTATCTCGTGGTTACGGCGGTTAATTTTACATTGATCATAGCATTATTTGATTATATAGTAATTAATTTACTGTTAACAATTTGTCCTCTTGAAATTAATTCACATTGTTACATACTAACAGACACGCTTGTCCGCGATGACTGTCCAGCACTTGAACATTACAGTGGCTTCAGTCACATTTCTAGTTTTCTGTGTATTTATTTAGACCAATGAAATCGTTATACCTTATTTACATTCTAGTGTGCATCAAGTTCTGTTTAGAATTTACAATTATGCAGAAACACGTCTTGTTTTACTATCAAATAAATCATTTACTTCTTAAATAACGGTGACGTATTATCATTGCATGAATATTAATAAATGGACAGCATGGCTATTATGGCGGGAAAAATCACCACGTCGGCTAGGGATAATATAACTAGTATTACAAAGACTGTCACTGTCCCGGAAAGGAACTGTTTAATCGGTGGTGACAGACAACTACAATCTCGAATACTGTGACAGACAGTAACTATCTCAACAAGGGATACTGTGACTAGTGGTGACAGACAGTTACTATCTCAATAAGGGATACTGTGACTAGAGGTGACAGACAGTAACTATCACAACAAGGGATACTGTGACTAGTGGTGACAGACAGTTACTATCACAACCAGGGATATTGTGACTACTGGTGACAGACAGTAACTATCACAAGGGATACTGTGACTAGTGGTGACAGACAGTAAATATCTCAACAAGGGATACTGTGACTAGTTGTGACAGACAGTAACTATCTCAACAAGGGATACTGTGACTAGTGGTGACAGACAGGAACTATCTCAACAAGGGATACTGTGACTAGTGGTGACAGACAGTTACTATCTCAACAAGGGATACTGTGACAAGTGGTGACAGACACTAACTATCTCAACAAGGGATACTGTGACTAGTGGTGACAGACAGTAACTATCTCAACAAGGGATACTGTGACTAGAGGTGACAGACAGTTACTATCTCAACAAGGGATACTGTGACTAGTGGTGACAGACAGTAACTATCTCAACAAGGGATACTGTGACTAGTGGTGACAGACAGTAACTATCTCAACAAGGGATACTGTGACTAGTGGTGACAGACAGTAAATATCTCAACAAGGGATACTGTGACTAGTGGTGACAGACAGTAAATATCTCAACAAGGATTACTGTGACTAGTGGTGACAGACAGTAACTATCTCAACAAGGGATACTGTGACAAGTGGTGACAGACAGTTACTATCTCAACAAGGGATACTGTGGCAAGTGGTGACAGACAGTAAATATCTCAACAAGGGATACTGTGACTAGTGGTGACAGACAATTACAATCCCGAAAAACGTGACTAGTGGTGACAGACAGTAACTATCACAACCAGGGATATTGTGACTACTGGTGACAGACAGTAACTATCACAACAAGGGATACTGTGACTAGTGGTGACAGACAGTTGCTATCTCAACAAGGGATACTGTGACAAGTGGTGACAGACAGTAACTATCTCAACAAGGGATACTGTGACTAGTGGTGACAGACAGTTACTATCTCAACAAGGGATACTGTGACTAGTGGTGACAGACAGTTACTATCTCATTAAGGGATACTGTGAGTAGTGGTGACAGACAATTACAATCCCGAAAAATGTGACTAGTGGTGACAGACAGTAACTATCACAACCAGGGATATTGTGACTACTGGTGACAGACAGTAACTATCACAACAAGGGATACTGTGACTAGTGGTGACAGACAGTAGCTATTCCTGACACTCTGACTAGTGGTGACAGACAATAACTATCCCGGGTACTGTGACTAGTGGTGACAGACAGTAGCTATACCTGACATTCTGACTAGTGGTGACAGACAATAATATCCCGAATACTGAGACAAATGGTGGCATTCAGTCGTTACCCGAGAAGCATACCAAACAGCGTTATATTTCCGGTGGAATCTACAAATGGCGCCATCTGTTGCAGAGAAAAAATGTTTTTTTATGCATTTTGGTTAAGAAGAAACCTGAATTTGATATCCCATTCCAACCGCTAGGTTCTGTATAAATCAAATGAAGCCGATGTACAAGAAATACCAATCTTATCTCGCGGATTGTTGTATATACAATATAATAATAAGATACCTTTTCAAACTACATCTCGTCTGCTTTGCAGTTGTTTTTCATGCCTCTTCACTCGACAGTGTAGATATGTGTAATTATGAATTTAATGGATATGCCGGAATTGGTTTTAAAATACATCTTAACACTGTGGCGTGGAAGTAGAATAAAATCCACGAATTCAGTGAAATATTCTGACATGCAGCGATATTCATAACTTTGCCAAACTGAATTTACATAAAACAAAAACATGTCCAACTGAAAACCTTTGGCAGAGAAATGTTTTATTTATAGCGACGTTTTAATTGTTTACTATCCTTCATATCTTGGCATCGTGCAATTCTGAATGATTTCACGAGTCTTATGTTTCCTGCTGTGATGGTTTCATAATAAGACTTTTTAAAATAGTTTTTATTCTATGTAGATTTAAAACATATTTTCTGGCTTCTAAGCTCCACGATAAAACAAGTTGTAAACAACATAACAATCCTCTCCTTTTATAGAAACCAAATTGTTGTCATAACAAAACAGATACAAAGCACAAATTCACCTCAACGTTATCATCCATCAATAGCGTTTTGTAAGATTTCAGGGGTCCCTGTTCGCGCCGATCATCCGTGACATGTTTGAAAAAGCTTGTTTGTTTTAAATTCAGAGGTCAAGCCTATTTGAATTACGTTTGTTTGCTGGGTTTGTCGCCCTGTGAACAGCCAGTCATTTTGTGATTTTGAGACACATTACATCATGGAGGCTGGTTGCTACCTAACTGAACATCATGCGGAAGGCCTGTCACATGATATTCGAATCAGTTGAGGGAAGTGTCTAACGCAAGAGCACAACCACGACAACCCGAAACACGAACCGGCCCTAGTAGATAGCGAATCACAAATAACAGACTTACATATATATATATAAATCTAACGTTCGCAGAGCAGATTGAATTTTTCGGGCTGTTCAAGCTTTTATTCGGTATAGCTTCCTTAATTACATAACCTGTTTAAATATTATATTCAGGTCTGTAGGATAAAGATAGGTAAAGTCGGCGTTATAAACATAAAATCGTTTCCACACGCAGTATCCCGAGTTCTCTAGTACTCTTTTAGGAGTTTGAGAGTATGTTTTTCATACATAAAGGTCAAAGGTAGGTGTTCAGCAGTTGTCTTAGATGTAAAATTTACTTATGTTTATGTTTAAATGTTAAATATCAAGGTCATGTATTTCTCTTGTCTTGAACAGGGACGTCTATTACGAATACTGCGTGGCATTCGGTAGTTGCAGCCATCCAATAGAAGAGGGAAAGAACAGATAGTGATTGCTACCTGTGGTGTTATTGTTGACCAATCAGGATTTTCTGGAACAACTGACAAAACTAAACAAAATAAAATACTTTAAATCTTAGTAATTCACTTCAAATGGAAAATTCAGTATCCGCCCGGATACTGATGGGTCCGACACCTGTTAACCTATTAATCCGGATTCTGTCGGCGATTATTTTTAAATGCAATTTCCGGTGACGGCGTTAGTTTGGAAATCGATTACCTGAACAGTTCACGTTCCTGAAGTTACGTTTACCAATGTTCTTTTTTTATCTAACACGATTTGGGAAACAACATTTATGTCATGTGATTTGACATCACAAGTCATAAGTTGTACAGTTATTAAATATAAGCATACTTGGATAATTAAGATTGATAATTAACCGATTGTTAAAAACTTACCTGTTTTCCCTACGCCTTCTTTACCCAGGACCAATATATTCACTGTGTTTCCTTTCATAATGGGTCCCAAACATTCACAATTGTCGAGTCAATAGTCCATTAAGAAATCATTATTGTGATTCATCCGTGGATCCAATACAGAAATCAAAACGTTTTAAGTCATTCTAGACCGCACATTGGAAAATGTTCTTAGAAAGGGTTAATGTATAGAGAAAAAAAGTCAGCTCTCCGTTAAGGTAACTGTTCCCTCCGATCAGACCATAGTAAACAGTGACTGAGTGTACCCTCTGCCTTTATACACGGCGTATAATGTAAACCCGGTAGTGTATTGGTAGTGTGTTACACTGTAGGGGAGACAGGTGGTGCTAATTACCGCCGCACGAGCACATAGATCATTCGGGTATTTCCGCCATGTTTCGACAACACGGTGAGAATAACAACGACACGTGCAAGAATATTCTGCGACATTCTGATTGGCTGAATAAGCTACTTTGTTTTTTGAACGTCCTGGAGGCACATGTTCCATTACAACAATATCGAATATGTTGCTTTTGTATGAATGATAGAAAATCCACAGACATTTATTGTCGGTGCGCCACATAGACGACACTTCATCTCTTAAAGGAGGAGGGGGGCAATGGATTTAAACGTATGGGCGCCCTTTTACCTTTCGTTCTATTTTTGTGTTATTACTGAAACGATTAAGTAACAACACCTATTCGTTGTAATGACATAATTTACTGACCCTGGTGATATAACACCAATGCTGCTTTAATGGGTTTTATCTCCCAATGATCTGGGCATATCAGTCGGATGATATCTTCAATTCACGATGGTGGAATCACTTAAACGTTTGGAAGATAGATGGTTCATTGTAGATTTACGCCCTGTTATCAGCAGTGGTCCTTTAAGGTTGGCGGAGGAAAGCCGGAATTCCAGGTGAAAAACCAACGACCTGCGGCCAGTACTAGGCGACTGCCTAACGAACCTGCGACCTAAAGGATAGCGATAAAGACGACCGCCGTGGACACTTGTATATCATATTATGGATAAGAACCATATGATCGTTTTAGGTGGTTAGTCTTCCAGTAATTGACATCCATCTATAAATAATCTCGTGATTAGTTTAGTTTGGCTCTGAACAAAGAAACTAAACAAATTATGCTTATTTAAGAATAGTTTGAACGAATGATGGGCTTGCGTCACCGGAAATTGCATTATATAAATATATTTTATTATTATTAAACAAGACGAAACTAACGGCAGCTTGTTTTCTTTATCGTTCCATATAGCAACACATACAACCTAAATTCAAAATAACAAGTTCAAAACCCTCACCGTCAATCTGTAAACTTCGCATATCACGATATCGGAGGTATTTCTTTTGAACGTGTAAGGTTGTCCTTGACTGACCTGTACATTCTCCCGTTTCTACACACAAACAAATAAAGGTCCACTGCCAAAATATTTACAAACCATATCGTGTTTATGTCATATTTCTTGTGACATTTCACAGTACTCCACAGAAAAATGAAACAATTAGGATTTTTTTTTGTTATTGTAATTATTTTTTTAATTTTCAGAATGTATGACCCAGATGCAGGTACATATTAACCCTGTATGTGTCTGTCACTGGTTCTGGAAATAACCCATACATATTTCAGTGTATTTAGCTAAAATTGTATAGTTAGCTTGTAATGGAAAACCTAATCAATGTACTGTAAGCTTAATATCACCCAGAAGGATTCCTCCCTTCCTTAGCCTTTTCTCCTAACAATTTGATCGAATTGATAGCTGAAATGCATTTCGACAGCACTTCTCCTATCCTTAAACCCCACCCCCTCCCCCCATCTCTCACGGCATCAGATAGAAAATGTATGCGGCAGTTAGGTCATTCACGGTGTGAAACTTTTTTTTTTCAAAATGAAGTTTTTTTGGAAATAGTTTCTAAGCGTTTGTGAATTGTTGTATTAATTTAAAATTTTAAATGAGGTGGATTTTAATAATGTCTTTAAACTCACCATGCTTTCTTCAAATGAGGGGTAGATGTTATCAGTAATGACACATTGGTTTAGAGGTGAAAATTATTATGCATAGCACCAAAAGTTCGTTTGTCACTCGTTGACACTGTCACAAGGTAAACACAGACAGCTTTATAAGGAACTTTATCAGCAGACGAAGGATTAAAATGAAATTCAACACACGTGTCAAAACTTCGGAGAAAGCGGCATTCCCCGTGAGAAGCATTGACCTTCATTTCAGTCTCTTGATTTAATTTGATTTGTAGAATTAGAGAAATCACTGCTTTGATGATCTGTGGTATTTATTTGTTTTAAACACTTTTCTGGTGTTTACTGTATATCTACGGTTAATTTATTTATTTGTGTACGGAGACTTTGTATCAGATATTGTAAAAATCTACTCCAAATGTTCGTTGTTTGGCTTTAAAACCTACATTTTAAAATGGACAGAAAGTTTACCTTATTCCAGAACCAGAACAATGGAACACTCTTTTACTTACTAAGCTTCGCGTTGATTGGTTCCATTTAATGACCAATACCATATCATTAAAACAACCAAACACTGTGACATGTTCTCCAGATTGTCCTATTATTATTTTAAAGTGCTCATCAAAAGTGCGGAGGGATGAATTATTAGTAAGTGAGAAAAGACAGAATCCCCAATTCCTGTAGTTTTAATGTCCATAGAACTACCTGTTTCCCAGTGTTATCTGATCAATTAACAGAATGCCCATATTTGTCGTCACATTCGAATGGGAATTCAAATTCCCTAAATCTGTGCAGGTAGAGAAAATTAAAAAAAAAAATACATAAACAAACGAAAAAAAAAAAAAACCAAAAACAACACAAAAAAGCAAACAATTGCAACGCTTTCTTCGCATCGACGTTATTATCCCAAATCTGCAGTCAATATGACGAAAACTTAAAAGTTTATCTAACACAGTGCTGTCATGAACATCGGCAGTTAAGAAGCGTTGTGGAACATAAGTTAATAATGACCAGATACAAAACTTCTCCCTCATCACATCGGCCGCCTCGTTGTGTTATCTGAAGGATAACGATAATAGGAGTATCAGATTCAACATTTAAAAAAAAATGTAACAACTAAAAAATCCCCGACGATAAACTGGTAAATTTCTGTGGCATTTCATAGAGGTGAAATATATTGCGTTACAGTAACGTTGGGGGGTTCAGGAACGGGTACCCTGAGCAGATTTTCAACAAGATATCTCAAATTTCTAGAGTAAGATTGGTGCCTCGATAGATTTGTCAGACATGGTACGTGACAGCATCTAAATCCGACGGTAGCTGTTGAAATAACTTCGTTTCTTTTTTTTTTTTTATCTGAAAGTCAATTTCTCAAGTTGTCTACTAGGTGCTACAAGTCACAGATCTAGAATGAGTAAACGAGAGCAGGTGATTTTTATTCTCAGACAGGCAGGGAGTCGTAGACCTATTTAATTAACTATACTAAAAGAACATTGTGACTGATTTAAAGCTGAAGGACAATTTGTCACCTCGATCATGTTGAGAATATCGGCTGTTATTTAAGGATGTGGTTGATGGGTTCCGTAGATCGAGATCCGGCAGGAGTCAATACGAACCTTACGCTTGACTGCCGGTAGAAAATAGAAAGGAGACGAAAAAGTTCTAATACCTTCAGACAGACACTATCGTGAAGGACAATCTCAGACAAGGTGAATCTTTAGAGCTACATCTGTCTTCACGTGCAGAACACGTGCCATGTTAAACTTCACAAGTTTTATTTTCCCTTTCACTCATCACGAATTACGGTCGCCATGCTGTCAAGTAATACACGCGCTCTTTGTTACGTCTTACTAATGAAGCACGCGGTGTCTGAACTATGCATCGTTAAAGCGGTATCATCAAACTCTTTGTGCTATTCGCGGTCTTTGATCCAAGAAAAGACCATTATTTACTGGTGAAGTAAATAGCCACCCTCCCTACTTACGCAAACGCCATTAAAGACAATGAAAGCAGTGGTTTTCCAAATCTGAGTCAGAGGGACGTGCCGAAAGTTTCGAAGTGTCAAAGAGAATGACACACATTCACCTACTTTGGGGAAAACATTCAAACTTAAATCAGAATCAAAATATAAAAAAATTGAAATGAAATAAAACTGTGATTTGTGTGACAATTGATCATGATGTAACGAACGTCGTTTCTATTTATATGTCACTTACATTGCATTTACAATTAATTAGGCAGCTCGGCCGACACGCGTGTTTCGTAAAAACATTACGTTAGGAGTTGTTAGTCATCGCTCATTCGTCCTAAACCCAAAAGGTCAAGTATTTTTTGTGTTCTCGTTTCTGACGCAGGAACACAAACACAAGCGAGGGTGAATGTCGTGTTTTCGTTTCCTCGCATAAAGGTCGAAGAAGCGAGAAAACAATATTTTCACTCCTTTCCCATCGGTTTTTTCTCGTTCCTTAGCGTCTCTGTCAAGGAAGAGAAGGCACGAAAGTAAACCCGTCTCTTCCTCGTCTTAAACGCGAAGGGGCAAAAATATGAAGGTGATGGGGTAAGGATACGATATCATGGACTGAAACTAATACTGCATCCATTGTGTGGTTTACCCACTTCTTCACGTTTGGAGCGAAGGAGGAAGGGATTTCATCTCAACAGAATATCATCTAAAAGTGCATTTTCAAGAACTGCGTAAATCGACCATAATGTGAAGTATTTGAAACAAACAAGTTTCTATACGCCAGACCGAGGTGTGTGGTAGGAAGACAGGAGCACTCTGGAAATTAGTTACACATGTGGAAGACTTACCAGTAATATGCTTTTCCAATTTGAATCACAATTAAATTGATACCTCTCATACTATGATTGATTGATTCTACAGCTGCGGTCGCCCTGCGGTGCCAGGTAATCACTGTTTGACCCAGACTCATTTCTGAATTCGTATTTTATTTACATCACTTAAAGAAGATAATTTCATTCTCAGTTTTATAATACTCTACGACTGAGTAATTTCCATTGATCTTTAAACAATTTTATTATATGGAATGTAAACATTTTCTTATAAACAACAGTTGTCCAGAGTCACGTCTACTGACATTAAGCAGTTTGTACGTGGATGCCAAGTCGATTGGGCTTCATCCTAGAATTCATCTAATGAGATAGAGTACTGTGTTGCCTCAAGTGTCTAATCGAACACTAATAAGTCAGCGTGCTTGTTATTTATTCGACACTAACATTAATTGTTACCTCACAATGAAAGCAGATGAGACAGAAGAAATAATATCAAGGTCCATATATACATCAGTTATAGGAAGATTCCGACTTAACTGAACTCATGCTGAATTTCGATTAACTATGCTTCAAATGTCAAATAACTATGCAACAGTTGAGTTGAGAAATGGACTTTTGACTTGACATTGACCCTTGACTTAATGGCCTTGACCTTTAATGAATACCCATTCATTACTATGCTTCATTAATAAGTTTTTTTTTGCAGTTAAGCAGACATTTACTATAGTGTTTATTTCTTGTTTGATTCCTAACGCCTTGATTTTGACATCCTCGGTCCCTATCGGCTCCCATCGGCTGTCAAGTTTAGTGCTCTATAATCTGACATAGTTAAATCAAGGACAGTAACTCTGGGAAATCAGAATGGATTTTGACAATAGAGCAGTTGACGTCAAAATGTTTATCTTGTATGATAACGGTCAAACTGTTTTATATCGCAACAAAAACTTACCAATTTCCACATGAGAAAAACACTAACATTGATCATCTATCTCCCAACTGAATTGATAGTTTATTTCGACACCTTTCTTCGCAATGGTAATACAAAATCTGCGTTCAGATATAAAATTTGACCTCGACCTTTGACCGAATAATATCGAGAAATATAAAAACAAAATACGTCATCCTATAAAACTTAAGAAATGATGAAGATCTGGATTTAGGAGACTATCTTTATGTGCGTTCCAAATAAGATATGGAAAAGTTTGGTGGATTTTTCCATTTTGATAGTGTTGACTTTAATACGCATTTACGCAACAGTGTAGAGTTCTTCATTGATAACGGAAACAGTTCGTTAAAAGTGCAGCGAATCATATATGTATTACATAACTAGTAAACAGCTTGTTTACATAGGCCTCAACTTAAATACATGTACACGTGAATTATAAGATACTAAATATGTTAACGAGGAAATTAGCTCACCTGCTGAAAGATAACTAAAATGTATACTTAACTCGTCCGTGATGGGAATGTGTAGCGGCTTTAAGTAGAGAATTAACTTAGGTTTAGTGCGACATGCGATTCGAGTTGCGGCTAAATTAACCTGGTTAGGAAAAAAATTGGAAGGACAGGTAGTTTGTTGGCTGGCTTATGACAGGACAAACGGATTGGTTGTGTTTTGTGTCATAAATGGACCAGTAATAGTGAAAGAAGTGAGATAAGACAATTATTAGATATGTTGGAGGGCTAATGGTGATAGATCTGCGGAACAAATTAATTGTAATGGAGCACGAGGAGTAAATTAGTTGACCGGTGATTGAAGGCTGATCGAAAAAAAGACGATGATGGAAAGACGGTTAGACAACAAATGGACTGTCAGAAGGGTGCTGTGACAAACGGACTGGTGGCAGAAGGGCTGTGAAACAAACGGACTGGTGGCAGAAGGGCTGTGAAACAAATGAACTGGTGACCGAAGGGTTGTGTAACAAACGGACTGGTGACAGAAGGGCTGTGTGACAAACGGACTGGTGACAGAAGGGCTGTGAAACAAACGGACTGGTGACAGAAGGGCTGTGAAACAAACGGACTGGTGACAGAAGGGTTGTTAAACAAACGGACAGGTGACAGAAGGGTTGTGAAACAAACGGACTGGTGACAGAAGGGTTGTGAAACAAACGGACTGGTGACAGAAGGGTTGTGAAACAAACGGACTGGTGACAGAAGGACTGTAAAACAAACGGACTGGTGACAGAAGGGTTGTGAAACAAACGGACTGGTGACAGAAGGGCTGTGAAACAAACGGACTGGTGACAGAAGGGCTGTGAAACAAACGGACTGGTGACAGAAGGGTTGTGTAACAAACGGACTGGTGACAGAAGGACTGTAAAACAAACGGACTGGTGACAGAAGGACTGAAACAAACGGACTGGTGGCAGAAGGACTGAAACAAACGGACTGGTGACAGAAGGGCTGTGATACAAATGGGCTGGTGACAGAAGGACTGTGAAACAAACGGACTGGTGACAGAAGGGTTGTGAAACAAACGGACTGGTGACAGAAGGGTTGTGAAACAAACGGACTGGTGACAGAAGGGCTGTGAAACAAACGGACTGGTGGCAGAAGGACTGTGAAACATGAAACAAACGGACTGGTGACAGAAGGGTTGTTAAACAAACGGACAGGTGACAGAAGGGTTGTGTAACAAACGGACTGGTGACAGAAGGGCTGTGAAACAAACGGACTGGTGACAGAAGGGCTGTGAAACAAACGGACTGGTGACAGAAGGGCTGTGAAACAAACGGACTGGTGACAGAAGGACTGTGAAACAAACGGACTGGTGGCAGAAGGGCTGTGAAACATGAAACAAACGGACTGGTGACAGAAGGGCTGTGAAACAAACGGACTGGTGACAGAAGGGTTGTAAAAAATGAACTGGTGACAGAAGGGTTGTAAAAAACTAACGGACTGGTGACAGAAGGGCTGTGATACAAATGGGCTGGTGAAGGGTTGTTAAACAAACGGACTGGTGACAGAAGGACTGAAACAAACGGACTGGTGACAGAAGGACTGAAACAAACGGGCTGGTGACAGAAGGGCTGTGAAACAAACGGACTGGTGACAGAAGGGTTGTTAAACAAACGGACTTGTGACAGAAGGGCTGTGAAACCAACGGACTGGTGACAGAAAGGCTGTGAAACAAACGAACTGGTGACAGAAGGGTTGTTAAACAAACGGACAGGTGACAGAAGGGTTGTAAAAAACGAACTGGTGACAGAAGGAAAGTGGACAAAGAAAATGTCCGATAACGGTAGGCGACTGGGACAAACTGACTGGTTATGGAAGACTGATGTGATAAAAGCGTTATGGGAGACTGGCGATAGAAAGAAGGATGGATGGACAAACGAACTGTTACCAGAAGGATAATGGGACAATAAATGGACAAGTGATGGAATGCAAATGGACAAATGGACTGTTGATTCAAGATGAATGGTTATGGAAGACTGATGGAACAAGCCGACTGGTATAAAAGGAAGATGGGACAATAACTGGAATAGTGATGGAAGGATGGTGTGATAAATGGACTGGTGATGGAAGGCTGGTGTGATAACTGGACTGATGATGGAAGGCTGGTGTGATAAATGGACTGGTGATGAAAGGCACATGAGAGAAATACATGGACCAGTGATGGTTGAAAATATGACATCTAAACATTGTAGATGGTGATGGCAGTGATATGAATATACTTGAATGAATGATGGTTTATATAAAAGACAACAAAACAGGTATATATAAGTGTCATCATCTATTACAGGTTTGTAACAAAACATTGCCTATATTTAGGTAAAAATATAAAATAAATTTAAAAAGTTTAAATGTACAAAATAAAACATTGACAACAATTTCTAACACAAAGATTTTCTTTCATTCATAACATTCAACAGTCTTCAGTCATCAAAATTACTCACATTTCACTTATTCCATCACTCACTTTGATAAAACAATGATTTAGACAATGTTCTATGTAGTAGCAACATGATACCCTGTCCTAATATTGTTACATCTTGATAGTGTACTACGCGGTGGTGATCAAAATAATAATTATTGTAAAATACAGACAAACATCTACGTGTCTGTAGAAGATATACAGAAACATTCCCTAGTTTTCAGTGTGAAATATTGTAAATATGTTTTGGCATAGATTCCATCTCCCTTACATCATAAAAATCAGAATCAGATCAGGGCAATTTATTTCATATTTCAACCTGTTTGACCTGTTAATTCCCCCTCCCTAATGCATACAGATTCCCGTACAATTTACAAGTGAAGTTTTTATACTCTTCACTGCTTCTGTTCACACTATCCTAATTATGTATGTAAACCAAGGATTTGGTACAGAGAATATGTCCAGTGGAATGTATCCCCAATATACTAGAAGTACTGATTAAGGTAAGGTCAAGGCACATGTCCCTGTTTTATTATCAATCCTAATACATTTTATTTTCCTCAATGAGTTTCTTATCTCTTTTAATATTTTTTTTAAAATAATGAAGTGGCTAATTTGTGAACAGAAAAGCAAATTGTGATTGTAAAATGAGAATGTGATACAGATGCCTTGACTAGATATATGACCACAATCACTCACCCAGATACATTAAATTACCACATGATTACCAACAAATGATCAGGATGTCTATCGCTTTAGTACAGCTGTGTACAAATAGAGATTAATGACACAGGGAACATACACAAACTAGATGCATAAAATTAGTTCTGCCCGAAAGAATCCGTCTCCATACAATCAAATTTTCTGCTTTACACAATAACAGATATTGATTGCTATGTTGAATATATGACAAATACCTGCTCACAGGGGCAGATAACCCTGTATTAAGAGAAGTTGGAATGGTAGCCTTGACCTTTGGCAAGCAAACATAAACTGGTTGAGATTCTGAAGAAAATGAGGATATCCAAGATTAACCTTGTAGATAGATTACAGGTACCTATAGTAAACAGATTTACCTTGTAGAGAGATTACAGGTACCTATAGTAAACATAGATTTACCTTGTAGAGAGATTACAGGTACCTATAGTAAACAGAGATTTACCTTGTAGAGAGATTACAGGTACCTATAGTAAACAGATTTACCTTGTAGAGAGATTACAGGTACCTATAGAAAACAGAGATTTACCTTGTAGAGAGATTACAGGTACCAGGATTTACTTGTAGAGAGATTACAGGTATAGAAAACAGAGATTTACCTTGTAGAGAGATTACAGGTACCTATAGTAAACAGATTTACCTTGTAGAGAGATTACAGGTACCTATAGTAAACAGATTTACCTTGTAGAGAGATTACAGGTACCTATAGTAAACAGAGATTTACCTTGTAGAGAGATTACAGGTACCAATAGTAAACAGATTTACCTTGTAGAGAGATTACAGGTACCTATAGAAAACAGAGATTTACCTTGTAGAGAGATTACAGGTACCTATAGTAAACAGAGATTTACCTTGTAGAGAGATTACAGGTACCTATAGTAAACAGAGATTTACCTTGTAGATAGATTACAGGTACCTATAGTAAACATAGATTTACCTTGTAGAGAGATTACAGGTACCTGTAGAAAACAGAGATTTACCTTGTAGAGAGATTACAGGTACCTGTAGAAAACAGAGATTTACCTTGTAGAGAGATTACAGGTACCTGTAGAAAACAGAGATTTACCTTGTAGAGAGATTACAGGTACCTGTAGAAAACAGAGATTTACCTTGTAGAGAGATTACAGGTACCTGTAGAAAACAGAGATTTACCTTGTAGAGAGATTACAGGTACCTGTAGAAAACAGAGATTTACCTTGTAGAGAGATTACAGGTACCTGTAGAAAACAGAGATTTACCTTGTAGAGAGATTACAGGTACCTATAGTAAACATAGATTTACCTTGTAGAGAGATTACAGGTACCTATAGAAAACAGAGATTTACCTTGTAGAGAGATTACAGGTACCTATAGAAAACAGAGATTTACCTTGTAGAGAGATTACAGGTACCTATAGTAAACATAGATTTACCTTGTAGAGAGATTACAGGTATTTATAGTAAACATAGATTTACCTTGTAGAGAGATTACAGGTACCTATAGTAAACAGAGATTTACCTTGTAGAGAGATTACAGGTACCTATAGTAAACATAGATTTACCTTGTAGAGAGATTACAGTTACCTGTAGTAAACATAGATTTACCTTGTAGAGACATTACAGGTACCTATAGAAAACAGAGATTTACCTTGTAGAGAGATTACAGGTACCTATAGTAAACATAGATTTACCTTGTAGAGAGATTACAGGTACCTATAGTAAACATAGATTTACCTTGTAGAGAGATTACAGGTACCTATAGTAAACATAGATTTACCTTGTAGAGAGATTACAGGTACCTATAGTAAACATAGATTTACCTTGTAGAGAGATTACAGGTACCTATAGTAAACATAGATTTACCTTGTAGAGAGATTACAGGTACCTATAGTAAACATAGATTTACCTGTAGAGAGATTACAGGTACCTATAGTAAACATAGATTTACCTTGTAGAGAGATTACAGGTACCTATAGTAAACAGAGATTTACCTTGTAGAGAGATTACAGGTATTTATGATAAACATAGATTTACCTTGTAGAGAGATTACAGGTACCTATAGTAAACATAGATTTACCTTGTAGAGAGATTACAGGTACCTATAGTAAACAGCCATATACAGAAACTGCATCTTTAAATAAATATAGTGTAGACAAATTGACTAGTAAATGATTTTGAATGAAGATATTTTTCAGAAATACAAATTCTAATGTTATACAGACATTTAAGTAATTGAAATTAAAGAATTCAACCCTTGAATTAAAACAGGTGAAAATAGCACGAAATCCTAACTTGAGCAAAGACAGATAGGTAAGCATGATTCCCTTTGCTATAGCCAATCTGTGGGTTGGAGTTGAAATCAAGATACTATCAGGCCCTTGTGGTGCTGACAGCCCAAATCAGATCACCAGTTTTAAATCTAGTAAATATCAGGCAACAGAGAAATTCCGAGTGCATTTTTATAGATTTGCATTTCCTTACTTGGTTACCTGTGTTCACACAGTAAAATGTTGGCCATCATGAAACAGCAGACAGATTAATGGATTTTGGACATAAAAAGATGACAAATTTTTGCATGTAATGTATCTACTGAGACATATATGCATCTAACATGTACTTATAAGCTGACATAGAATAAATTGAATTATGATTTAAACACCATTACATGTATACAATTACTCACCCCCCAGTATATATATAAAGGATTATGATACTGTTTAAAAATTACATCTTTTTACATCATAAAATAAATATCAAAACAACAAACATTTACTACAAAAAAGAAATCATGGACGATCATGGACAACATTAATATCATAAACAAGCAAACAACAAAACAAGACCTTAGTTTGATCAGTAAAGTGCTGAAGCATAATTTCCTATTATAGAACAAGATTACAGTAACCAATTACATTATAGGTACGAACTTAACTCTGTCTTCACTATAGACATAAGATAGCTTCATACATATTCCAAACCCAAGTCAATATATATATATACATCTTATTCATATGACTGTTGGGTTGATATGTTTAAAACAAAAATCAGCTTACAGGCAAAAATGGTGAAACTTGGATTTATAATCCTTCCATGAATGGATACGTGGATGGGAGGGTCAATTTGTGTAATACTAAATTCTAGAATGTCGAGGGAAAAAAAACAAAACAACATACATGTATATTGTCCGCTGGAGAGAAATACTGTTTTTATGACATTACTCAATGTAAGAAAATGATCAGTCCCAGCTTATAAGTTAATAGATGGTTGACACAAGCTGTATGATCCGAAATATGATCAAAGCATATCGTGCACACAACCTTCCACTTTTCACGATGTACTTTACAGTTATGATTAACTGGAATTTGAGTATTTGAAACAGCAAAGTTATGGGAGTAGAAGTAGAGATCAAAACATTTCCAAGTCTTAACTCAATATTTATACAAAATCAAACACTCTTCTCTGTATATGTAACTCTATAAAGAATTGGCAAGAATTACAATCAATCAGAACTTATTTGAGTATACCCCAGTACATAAGGATTGAAATGTTCTATTTTAACTTGATGATAATGACACATTGTTGTTTATCATTGTTCAGCACCTTACAATAATTGATTGATAATGTAAATGTATATGGTAAGTGACATCCAATATATCCTGACTAATGTTTAAGTATATTGCGTAGATAAAGTTTATTCTGATCATTCATTATTGTTAAGTAAATATTAAGTTTACATAATAATTTGATCAAATCCATTTCTGAAGTGATATCATGTAGAAAAAAATTTCACCGGGTACAACACCTTTGTTAACTCAACAGTCGTGATAACATGCTGACCTTTAACTTCTTGTAGCTCAATATGTTTACTACACAAATAAAGGGTATCGTTCATTAATATGAATTTTTAAATACAGGTATTTCTAAAATTAACTTACCTCTATTTGGTTTTTACAGGAAAAAAAATGACTGAATTAAATGTACTGATACACTGACATCTAGCATTTCACAATTTTCACAAGTAAAAGTGATGAAAATTAAACCCACTCATATCTACCTAATCTATTTATCATATCTAACAGTCATTAAAGTTGATATGTTGCATCTTTGATTTGGTTAAAAATGTAGCCAATCACAGCTTGTAACTAGAAGCGATGATAAATTGCACGGAAGATCCTACATTTGAGCACTATTGTTTAATTAAGATAAAAATTTCAATTAAGACATACAATGGATTTCTGAAATGTGAAAAGACATTAAACAAAAACGACAATTTTACAGACACTGAAATAAATATTACAAAAACTTGCGATCAATATATACATATATATGTCAAATACTTGTGATGAATCTTTCAAACATATACCGTATAACAATGAAAACAAGTGATTCAGAATATGTTTATCTGGCTGTAAAAGACAGATATATATCAAGTTATCTCCCCTTTATCTCATACTTCAAATATTTACATATTATAAATGGTGTGATACCACAACACTTGAGACTTGACACCCATCTTTCCTGTGATATTAGCCATAAAAGGTAGCATCTATTACTTAAAGAACATACTGCCAATTTGTTTATCAATCCTGTATGTAGTAATAAATGTATTGTAACATTTTTTAACATTGAATAGAGTATTGTTTAGATTAAATAGCCCAATCCTCTCCTTTCTCTTTCTATAGCATCAAGGCCCATAGATGTTCATAATAGAATCAAGATTACTCAGACTTGCTCCTATTATTACTTTATGATATAACTTCAATAGAGATGTTTTTATGACACATAAACTTCAGAATTCACCATGTATTACACATTAATTGTTTTGAAAATATGACAGTGTGAAGATTAAAACATAAACAGAATTCACCATGTATTACACATTAACTGTAAAATATTATTCAATACATGTATATAAACATAAAATAATTGTTAAATATTACACATTAACTGTAAAATATTACAATAAAATCTGGGAAATGAAAATATAAACAGTGTGAAGATTAAAATAATTGTTTTTCCTCTTATTTAAAACATACTGAAATTTTGGCCAGGTGAGCTAATGAACAATATAATGAGTATATATAAACATAATTAATATTTCACGTAAGTGTAGAGACTCTCAATAACATGCTATCATTATTACTGAAAATCCAGATTATAATTGTTGTTTTTCCAATTCCCTATACCTTATTATATGACTCAGGCCTCTAGTTCATACTTCAGTCCAAATCTTGCCTGTTAGTTATTATACATGTGAATCCATTAAAAAATATTGCGCTCATTCTACAACCTGTAAAATTGTATTAAGAGTTTTGAAATAAACTATAATATACAGTGTTTAAAAATCTGTGAATGATGAAAATGATTAAAATGTGACCACACAGTATCAAAATAGCTGAAGCACTAAAACGACATAAATTTCTTATCAATGACTCTGAAGACAAGTTTATACATTTCACAAATGTATGAAACAAATTCAATTTTGTAAGTGTTAAAAATATCTTTTATGATATTAGGCAGGACTTGTACAAGCTTATACAATAACATATTAGGTTTAGATCAGTAACTTACACTTTAAAATCAAACTAATATAGAATACAAGAAAAATGCTTAAACAGAAAGTAAGACTATATATATTTTCAGATATAAAACTTCCTCTTTGAGACTGAAATAATTGAAATCATGCTATGCAAGAAAATACTTGAAAATCTTTAGATTTTCAAAATTCAATAGATGAAATTTCTAGAAAAATCTCAAGGATGGTGATGATAATGGTGATCTGCAAATTTTGGATTTTTATCTAGAATCAGAAATACATAACAGCATTTTTTACATAAATCTATCTCACAATCTAAACATGTAATAACAAATTTGTAAATCTCTTAATCCTTTTTCATTTGGAAAATTAACCTGGAATTATTTAGGTCTTCAGTATACATACATAACCTTGAAGATATGTAACTATTACTACTATCTTTGTATACCAATGATACTGGCAGTGAAATGCATTTTAGAGATTTACAAAGACACTCATCCATACGAAATATAAGGTTTATACACTTTATAAAATTAGTAAGACTTTCATGTCCATTAATTTGTCAACTGGTTTATCTTAAAATGTATGAGTTAAAAAAAGGGTTGTCTGTAACAAGTTCGATAACGTTTTATACTTAACAAAGAGCTGTCTACATTGTCACATAGAAACGTATGTCATCAATATCTCAACACAGATGTGATCAGGAATGGCACTTTCTAAACAAAAGTTTTTCCATCAAATCCTCCTCCACTGCATGTGTGTACCAGTGTGCATAGCAATAACATACGTATATAATCAACTTCAAGATAAATGCAGTAAGGAAAATAGTCTTTTCAGGAATCTGAACATCAGATGTTCAGAGCTTTTCCAAGATGGATAAGTACTCCTGGCTTTTGTGAGGTAAATCCTATATATCATAGCATTAGTCCATTTCTGATAGTTATATCATGTTCTGTATTTGACAGGAAGCAAAGAAATGGATCATTTCAACAACTTGTGTAATTGAAATATTCTATGCTTTCCATTCACCTATAATATTCCAAAAAGATCAACCAACCAGGTAAAGGTACATCCCACTAGACCGATCACACCAAACTAATTTAGTCGGTTAAAACCCAACAGTCAGGGTTGGTAAGCTGGTACCAAAATTTTACAATTCCATTTACAGAACAAACCAATCTAACTGGTTTAGCCATACAAATGAAAGGCAAATATGGAGTACTTATCTACAATGGTACCATTCACAGTTGGTCAGGGTCTGGTCACTGACCAGTCCAGCAAGCTTCATAGTGAGCAAACATTGGACAAGTAAGGTCAACTGGTCCAGCCAGCTGACAGGTAAGCCAATCAGGAGCGAGGTGACATGTATCATCAGCTCGATTGTTTTGCTGCTATAGCCACAGGTTGATGATGACTAGTCTGTAACCCTAAGAATTCAGCCACTTCTGCATGGACTTCATCTGGATAATCCTACAAAGAAAGAGAAAACAAATATGAAATGTATTACGGAAAATATTAAAGTAAAAAAGAAATGATTTATTTTAAGTTCTAAGTATCAGATGAAATAAGTAAATTTATCTAAAATGGAATTGTCCTATTATGCAGTAGCTCAGCATCTGGTTACAGTGAAAAATCTTACTGGCCAGTTGTTTCTTTAAGCTACACTTACTATCTTCACCTGTACAAACTTTAACATTTATTTAGGTTTACCCAAAAATGTACATATTTACATTTCTCATGTACAGAACTTAAAACCTATCTACCACAATAGTTTCTATATTCCAACTAAAGTAAAGAAAAGTAAAACAGAATGCTTTAAACATTTCTGTAAGTAACAGTATTTGTGGAAAACAGAAATGTGTTCAAATACAGCTTTTCTAAAAATTACTTGTTAAACAGCTGGAAAGCATTCAATGATATAACATACCTGGTACATATTTTGTTGATTTGAAGATTGAAGACAAAAACAAGGAACAAAATTTTGTATGTAAAATAAAAAATAGTGTACAACAAAGTTGCTGTACAAAATTACATATCTATACCTAGCATCGTCAATATTATTATCTAGAATATGTCTATAGGACATGGATGCTTCCCATTCTGTTCGAAGAATTTGCAGACATTGCCTAATGTGACCTTTGACCCTTTAACTTGATCAATGATAAAATGTACACGACATATTATGACTTTGTTGTGTAAAATGAACACAATCAGAATGAAACACGCCAGGATGGTCTGGCATGGGTAATATACTGTATGTCCTTCCTCTCTCAATGTAATTCTGATACAAGAAAAGGTCAGACGAAATCTCTGGAGTAAATCCTTAATGTAAACTAACAAGCAGGATGCTGGGAATCAAATTGTGTTAAATATAATAATACCTCGGGTTCTTGTTTAAATTCCTGTGAATCATCAGGTTCTTGTTTGATGAGAGAGTAGAAGCGACCACCATCACCACGACTCCTGTTCATGGCATGTTTATGTCGAGATTCATGCAGATATTTCTGGAGGAAAAAAGATTTTGAAATTGAAATAAATATTTCTGGAAAATTTTTTTCATTGAAATCAATTTTATTTACAGCAAATTTTCCAGAAAGACTAAAGCAATAATACTGTAGTTTTTATGAAAAATTTCTAATAAACATATTTTAACTTTTCTGAACACATACTATAGAATAAAAGTATACTACAAAGATAAATTCATCGACTTTGTGTATACAGCTTTTAAGATCAGCATCCTTTTTCAGATAAATCATATGAAGTGCATAAAAAGCCAGAAAGGCAATCTCTGCTCACCCGTCGCTGTTTAGGGATTTTGCCACTAGCCTCCAGCTTTGCTCGAGCCTGTCTACGTTTGAGGATGCGATGGTATTGCTTAGCATTGACGTACAGGGGTTCCTCATCAGATGTCACTTGTTGTGTCTGTATTGGCATCCGCTGTAGTGTATTTCCATTCAAAACCTGAGACAGAGAGACGAACTCATCATAATTTGATTTGATTTGATTACATTTTTTCTAATCTAACCATTCCTCTATCTGTATTTCAACAAAACATTTTACTGTAATACGGTACTAATTTGAATTGACAAATGTTCTAAAAAGTCAGCCTTTTCTACCAAAAGGTCTCATGGTTGAAGACTTTTTATTTCTGCAAACAAACCAGATTGCCTATTTATAAATGGAAACTTGAATGCTGACATGTCAGAAAGGACCTCACTATATGTCTGACCTCGAGATTTTGTCAGTTGAAAACCTTGTCTGTGACAAATTTTGTCATAACAAGATATTTATCAGTTGACATGATTACCTCAATATGCGGTCAGTTGACTTCTTTGATTTCAGTCAATTATGTTCAATATGTCACAATTAAGTACAGTTATATAATTTTTGGTGTTAATAGTAATAGGCATTGATCTTTGACATCTGAACACAAAAAGCAAGCGAGATCTAGCACTTCCTGTGAAAAATCAATGGAGAAAGTATAAGTGTAAATGTCCAAACAGAAGGTAATAATGTTATTATGCAGAGATCAGTTTTCTATTTATAGTAACAGTGACCTTGACCTTAAACCTTCACCCATAAATCCATCCCAGATTTGGGGTAAGTTTGGTGGCAAATGACCCAACAGAACCAAAATAAAAAACAAAAACAGGAGATAAACAAGCAGACACAAAGACAAGTAACCTGATTAGTATAGGGCACCTGCATCTTCAATCCACAACCCAAATAAATTCTGATGGACCTTAGATATAAATAGAGGCACTGAAAGTCATGCCTGCAAGTTCATTAGACCTATCCCTATATCATAAACAACAATGGCCAAAATAATCAAATCTTTAGAACCAGGAAAAAGGGAAACATCCTTTCATTCAGACTAGAGATGAAATCTGTGTATGCCACATACCATAATTTGCTGGTTACTGTTGGCGCCCATCTGCAGCATGCCACGTGCCTGTAAACCTTGTAAAACCTGTGGTACTGTTGTTCCATTGGTCTGCTGCACAATCTGTCCGTTGGTTTGCTGTAAACCTTGCTGTAACATTTGTGCCACAGTGGTTTCCTGGGAATTGGTCTCCCCAGACGACTGCTGTAAGCCACTAGGTGATGTTGTCTGTGGCATCCCTGCTTGTAAAACCTGCCCCCCAGACTGTATTACTTGTCCACCTATGCTGTTCTGTTGTAGCGCTGTTTGTAAGATTTGTGCTGCACTGGCCTGTGGCATTCCCCCGGCTTGTAACATTTGAGGAGAACTACTCTGTGGCATTGCATTCTGTACCAGTTGTGTGGCTCCATTTTGTTGTAGTTGTGTCATCTGTTGGAGGCCACCCTGTATAATCTGGCCATTGCCTTGTACGAGCCCTGCTTGAAGCATCTGTTGTAGGCTAGCAGCTTGTGGAGAGACAGAGGGCACAGTAGAAGAAGTGGCTGGAAAACCAAAATTAAATCCAGTGAGTGTTAAAAAAAGTAATTTTATAACAATGCACATAAAAGTTTTTTCTTCAACAGTAATTTTTAAACAAGTTCAATTATAATCACTCTTGTTGGCCCTTAGAACATGTGGGGATTTGCTATTAAGAAACTGGATTACAAAGTGGACATTTGACCCTAGACCATTCCATGTCTAATTGCTGAATGAAACCCTGATTACCTACTAGAGAGGATGTATGTGCTAGTTGGCAATACACAGGATCCTGTATATGCATAAGAGCCATATCAAAATGCATAACACAACTCGTCAACTTTTTTCACATTATGGCCATTTTTTCCCCAAAATTATATTTACATTTTTACAGGAATTCAGTTAAGCAAAAGCATTAGTTTTGACTGTTACCTTGGGACTGTTGTACTTGTGGAATTTGTAACTGATTATTAGTGGAGTCGTCTGCCCCTGTCTGCAGAATCTGCTGTTGCTGAGGCTGGTACAGAATGGTCTGGCCATCTTGAGTCTGCACTAACTGACCACCAAACTGTTGCTGACCTAGAACTTGACCAGGCTGACCTTGAAATGCCATTATCTGACCGGTGCCCTGACTGGCAGCTTGTTGAAATATCTGTTGTAATGAAAAGTGTACATAGTGATGAAGTGTTTGATCAACAACATATATAATAATAAAAAAAAAATTTTTTTACAAAATTTTATAGTAGCTTTATCTATCAACCTAAGATATGAATGTAAGACACAACTTGAGCTTGCTGTCAATTTTCTTTAAAATTCAGGTCACAATCCTGGAGGGGATCAAAACAAAAATGGCCCATTGATTTTTCTATTTCCTTTTAATTCAATGCAAGGCAGGCCACCTTAGTTTTGTTGTTGGCTAACAATTTTTCAAAATAGCTCATTGTTTTCATTTCCTTGGAATTTTCCTGCATCATGAGTGCGATTAGATGATAAGTTTTGAGGGTCTGAATTAGATATAAAGTTCTTACTTGTTGTTGGGCTTGTAAAGAATTTTGGATTTGTTGTCCCCCAGGAGCCAACAACTGAAACTGAAAGAGGTAAACTAACAATAATTTATATCATTCATGTGTCATTTGTTGAAAATTATTTGACACAAGCCAATATTTCATGGAAAAGATTAAAAGTTTACCAATAAAATTTCAAACAAGAAGGATAATAATGCTTAAAATGATTTCTCAAAAGGTAGACAAATCTTAAGTTATCATGCTTAGCTTAATCTCTAATAAACTGAAATCCCTTTCTTTTTCTTATCATATAAGATTACAGGAAGACTTGGATAAAATGTTTCAAACAAGCTGTAAACATCTCAGGTTTTTTTTTTAAACTTGTTCATGATGGTTTTAGAGGAAGTATTTCTTCATACCTGTGGTACCTGAGAAAATTGACCATTTTGACCTTGGACTTGAAGTTGTTGACCTTGGAGCAGTTGACCTTGGGAGAATGCTTGAAGCAGGATCTGCTGACCTTGTAACATCTGATTCTGTCCTATTTGTATGATCTGCTTTGGTAAAAAAACACCCAAACAATTACACTGAATTTATGAGACATCATTCAAAAGTATATTCTGATTTATTTTCATTTCAATCTCGTTTCAGCTATAAATGAGTGAAAGCATTTGAATGAAGTATTTTGTCGAACAGTTTAACACAAGTGAAAATCTAGATATCAGAAAAAAGACCCTCCTGATGTTTAGATGATAAGAAAAATACTTGTACATGTTAATTACATAATACTTATAGTATTAAACATGTATACTGTAACCTCCCTAAAACAATTTTTCGCAAAACCAATTATCTCTTGAAATCAAACAAAATGGTTATGTAAGGAATGACACATCTTTATTATAACAACAACAAACTTTCCAATATGGTACTAACCAATCTAAATTCTAAGTACTCAGCCTATTTCATGCTCAAATATACTGAGAATTATTTCTGAAAACCGGCCTTACAAGATCTAGACTAGATTCCTGACAAGCAGACAGTGAAATCAACACATGTGCTGACAGTTGTAAAGTTTGTGATCCAGGCATGTATATATCATGGGAAGGCCAAGTTTTTGTACACAATACCTACCCCAATTAGGAGGTCTATTATTAACATTATATAATCATCACCAACCCCAATGCAGAGCTAGAAAACCACAGTTTCACATCTAATTTGTGATTTACTTAAACACACATAAACCAAATATGATCAATTACACTGGAGTACAGTCAACTTCCTTCACTAAATCACCCCAATATTTGTGTCCCATGCATGGTTGGTTTGGAGAAGATCCATTGCATTGTATATCTTCACCACAAAAATAATACCTTCAAATACAAGTTGTCCAGTTTCGTCATCAGTGCCTACCTGTGGTTGTCCCTGTATAGGGAACTGGTTTCCCTGCAGCCACTGAAGTGGGAGTCCCTGTGCTTGCATCACAAGCTGTTGCTGCAGTGGCTGTTGTTGCTGCTGCTGCTGTTGTTGCTGTCCATCTGCAGATGGTTGCATTGCTGTAACCTGAATTTGCTGATCCATCACTGGTTACTACATTTCAGTTATTCAACAGTAAGTACTTGGACATCGTGATGAGCTCCTGACTACATGGTGTCAGGTGTTCCTACAATGACAATATATAAACACATTATGCTGCAATGGGAAAAGCTATATCATTTTAACATAACATGTTTAGAGACCAAAGATTGATGATAATTCCCCTCAGTGTGATCATGAGTGAAAAAAACGAAAAACAAAAAAAAAAAAAAAAAAACAAAGAAAAATAAAAAACATTGGGATCTTGAACGCCAACCATTATATGATCTTTTATTTGCTTTTTAAAAGTTAAGTCTTTTCCTTTCTTTCCTGTTTTTGCTCTTAATTACATGATATTTGAAAATTTCTCTTTGGAAAAAGCAATAATATCATGTAACTGCCAAATTCAAGATGGTTGCCGGTTAGCCATTTCGTTTTTCATTTTTATCACAAAATCAAAAATGAACTATTGCGGATCAAGTGAACCTACATGTGGAATTTAAGAATATAACCATAACATTCACTGTCAAAATCAAAGATGGTCGCCTGTCATTCATCTAGTTTATCTGATCAGACAAAAAATGAATCATGCATAACTAAGGAGTAAGGCGAGTGTATGTATGAAATTTGAGAATGATCCCTCTAACACTTCTTCAGAAACAGCGATAACAATCTATGTCTGTCAAAAACAAAGACGGCTGCCTGTCCACTGCCATCTCATTATTCCGATCAGTCCCAGAATTGACTTTACACAAGGCAAAACTAAATAAGAAATAGTGATAACAAGAACAGTTTATAGACAGATGGAAGACTGACAATTTGATTAGCACATCAGACCATCTGATAATGGTTAGCCAAAAATGACTGATGTTTTCCATGCATATAGTCTTATATCAAAAGGTGATATATAGATATAGTAAGTCAGATCTTGCAGCTTCTGGTCATTAATGTACATTAATTAGTTATCATAACAATACCACACCTATCATAATTGATACTGTACAGTAAGGATGTAATGATTCAGCTGAAACATAACATGATATATTGTGATCTACAGAGACTGTATCACGACATGTATTACAATGTATCACCATTCATACATTTGACATATCATGAGTCTCTCTATTTTGAAACAGAAAAAAATCACAATGGGTAAAAGGATAAAAAGACATGAAAAACTTAATGCCATCTTTAGTTACCAACTGATTGACATGAGCATTCATGGTATCACAATCATTTTTGCAAGCATCTAAGTTGAAATACGTTCAAGTTAAGTTGCATTTTTATCTTTAAAATCCTTAAGAAATTAATATAAAACACTGAAAATATGATAGACTTGAATATACAGGTTAATACTTTTTCTATTGCTATAAGACATCCTTTTTTTGTGTATTGTGATATAGCAGTGTATCCTTACATCCCTAGTGTACACTATGCTATGCTATTAGAGGATCTAGCAAGATATTCATAGTTATAAAAAAAAACAACAAAAACCACACACACAACAAAAAACTAAATCTGGCATGTTTAAGAAAAAACTGTTTTGAAAGTAACATATTTCAGTAAAGCATGTATACTCTTGTTTCTGTAGACATACTGTGTAATAGTAAGAAATACATGTTTTGTTACTACGACCTGAAAATCAGGGGAAGTCACTCTTACTGGATTAGGACAAAGATTACTTCCTCATGGTGTTGGGGGAAGGATAGAGAATTCAAAATGTACATATTTAACAACCAACTTTTCGGAATAATGAACAAAACAATATAATATGAACAAAACATATATCTACGAAAATTCTTAAAATCATGAACAACTTTATTGTTTATCTTTTATTTTCAGTTATCAAAGTGCCTTTATTTATCAAATACTATAATTCATTACTTTCTTTCCATGATCATAATTCATATCTTGGAATAGTATTTCTGTGTCTTGGAAAAACATTCACTTTGAATGCAACAAGCTATTTGCACAAACAAAACATGTTACAAAGAAGGACCTGTTTAACATTTTCTATGCTGTATAATTTTTTTTCTAGAGACACATGTAGAAGTATTTCTGAGAAGTTAACTAATTTGTTTGAACATTTTGTACGAATTCCTCCTTTTTTCTGAACTTATTAGAAATCTACTGTAATAATTTCACGTATATCAAAATTTCTCACTCCTTTTTTGATGCGGACTAAAGGATGATTTCTGAGCTGTCGAAATTGCATCACAAAACATGACTAGAAGTGAGCATCAGTGATTTCCTTAATCAAATATATAAATCTCCCTGAAATTATATCATTTTGGCAATTCAATATTTTTGAAAGGATATCAAAGAACAGCCTGGGACCTTTAACTCAAATCACCTGTTTATGCATATATCATTAATTCTAACAATAGACAAAAAGTTTGATTTTTTTTTTTTTTTTCGTAATATCAGTTAATATTTTTGAAAAAAATATATATAATTGTAAGAATCTAAACCAGTTACTTTCGATGCTGCAGTACTTCAATTTATCACATCTCGGGATGTGTTTAAATTGTTTCACGTGTTAGACCAGTGTGTGTGACAAATTCATCAATAGAATGTTTTCCCTACTGAATTAGAAACACATACATATCATTAGAAAGAAATCGGTTTTCAAATTTTGATTGAAACCAGATGAAAAAGGCCTACTTACCGGTGAGTAATAAAACAGATAACTCGCGATGTTTTGGTCTGACAATGTGAATACAAATGAGGTTGATCAGTTGTGTGGAGACACTTCCGAAACAAAACACTTTCTGATTCAAGATATTTATTTAGACGAGGAAGGACTTTAACAACTCAGTTCAAACCAATTGTAATGTTTACATTGTTCCGATAGAATGAGTAAGAAACAAAAATAATACAAACTGCATGTGATAAGAAAAAACAATGCAAACGCGCAATGGCAATCATGGACAGCTTCTCTGGCGATTGTGTTTGGCAAAAAGCCATGAAACCCCGCGAATGTTTCCTCTAGTGCCATAACTGAGACATTTAAAACTGAAAACGTGTTCATAGTAAGAGGTATGATGGAAGCGAATCGTAAGATAACTCAGCGACTTACGTGGGTCCAATAGGTACCCTTTTCTTGGTGATTGGCTATGGAAATCAACTTGTCGTGGACAACGAATCATGGGCTAATCCGGTCTTGTTGGTCGACGCCATTGGTGCTGATTCCTGAAGGTACCACCTACAACGAAGTTCCGTGGGAAATTTTCCTAAGTCATGATTTGGTATTGTTTTCAAATAAATTTACGTTACAGTATTACACAAACAATACTTTTTGAAATACTGGGTACAAATCACATAAGTGAAATCCACATATGTACTTAATTTTTGATGAAATATTATATTTTTGTTGGGGAGTGCAGAATTAGGATGGAACAGCGGGACCCGAGGTCAACCAGTGGATTCGTCCTATCAATTAATGAATAATCACGTGACTAGTGTCAATTTCACACAGTCGGCGAGTGATAGCATGGCCACTGATTGTAAGCTAGCGGTGGGTTGGGCCAGACATGGTTGCAAGCTTTCCTCCTGGGTAAGGCCGCTACAACGCGGAAGCGCAGCGAATGTCCTTGATTGGAGGATTGTATAAACGAAACATAGGCTGTTACTGTAAACTGTCGTAGGTTAAACCGAGAAACGATCGAGTAAGCTTTAAAATGATTGACAAAGTTGTGCATTCATTGATTGTTTATAATATAGGGGCCCAGTCAAGGGGCACGTGTAAGCAGTGTGTAAACACGTGTGTAACATCTAGCCGCCTGTCTCCATGTCTGACATAAATAACCCACGTCGATCTTTTTATCTTGATGACGTAAAAATCATCGAATGTAACATCAAGCCAATACATCAATACCGAACATGTTATTTTAACTTTATGCCAATGTTAAATCGAATGAGATGTCACTAGACGATATAGCAGACATGATAATGAGTTAGCAGTATTGATTGAAATTTAGTGACATCGATCACGGAATGTTCTGTTTCTTCTGTCTTGACATAACGTAGCCTGGTGCATTACTTAAGGCAAACCAGATTGATGGGGATTTTTTTTTTGTAAATGTACCAACAATTCTACAAAATTCAATGAAGTTACGAATACAGGTACTACAATCTGATCTTTAAGTACACTCATTCTACAAGCATGTCAGTGATGACCGTAGCTGTTTGTAGGACATTACAAAATATAAAACCTTAGTACCTGAACACAAAGTCAAGATTTAATAATTTTTGAAATGATTGATTGCTAAAGGTATCTATATATACACATTTATTTCTAAAGCATAAATAAATTGTTCCTAATACCAGTACTGGCAGTCAAATGAAGTTGCTCCCCCACCTTTTTAAACCCACCCCCCCCCCCTCACCTTCCTTTGGCAATTTGTGTCTCTGAGAAACTGATTGATTGGTTGTGAGGTGATTGTGTCCTTTCAGTTGGGAAAGACACTTTTCCTCAGTTTGGTAGGATTTTGATAACATCAGACTCCCTCCTTAGTGATGAATATGATTTGTATTTTGTCATTATTGATTGTTCATAATTGAATGTTGACCAATGTGATGTTTCATCCTCTTGTCCCAGTGATTGCTTCCATTTCATCAATTAATGTAAGACATTGTTTTCTTGCGATAAAGGCACCTCTTACAGTTATTCAGAGAGTGTCGTAAGCTACAGAAGATTCAATTGCCAGCCGTGTTCCTCTTACGCTCTTGCACTATTTTGTCTTAGAAGGTTATATAACAGAGGTCATTATTTATTTTAATGCCTCCACTAGGAATTGAACCAGGGATCCCTGGCTTGCTAGTCTGACACTCAACCAATCGAGCTAAATAGAAATTTTCTGTAGCCGAGTGGTATATTGCAGCTAGTATTTTAACAGGGTTAAAGTTACACAAAATTCATTTACTGATATGATCCAGAATTAATAAAATATTATAAAGGTAAAGACTACCAAGGTATAGTTAAGTTATATAAACAAATCTTGTTCTTTTCAGATGTTAAAACAAATCAAATACAAGTTATCATATTCTGTTAAAGGGGGCTAACAGCTATGGTCAGCTTGGTCAAGGCCATACTGAGGATAAATTCCTACCAGGGGATGTAACTCCAGCAGACATCAATATTTGCAGCATCACAGGTGGTGGAGGTCACACTTTGATCATTAATGGTAATGTAAAAACAGCATTCTGATGAATCTAAGATGCGCATTTAAACACTTTTTTGACATATTTTTTTCAGAATTGTTTTAATTTCCTTGAAACGGTTTGAATTCTCCTTGTTTTTACTGGCACATGGTCCAAAATAAGCTAATTTTAAGTTAAGTTGATACAAAGAAAGTATCAAAGATTTTGATGTAAATAAAAGTAGAAAAATTACTGCAGTCATGGCACTTGAGGACCTGGCAATATAATGTAACATGTAGACAGAAACCTGACCGACAGAAAATTCTCTCAAGCACTGTATAAAGGTGGTGCAGATTGACTTCACACCTGCATACATTACACATATATATATATCAATTTCAAATTCATATTTCACAAAGGTTTAATATTTGTCTACAGCAATTGATACATTTAGGGATACTGAAGGATGAAACATACCTCTTTAAAAATTTTATATTTGCACCTTTTATCTTGATTATTTTTAATCAGAAATGCCAGTTCAAAAATGGTGTTGTTCTTCAGTACTTAAATGTTGAAAATCTACTATTATTGCAGATGAAGGAGAACTGTTTGTGTGTGGATCAAACAACAAGGGCCAGTTGGGACTTGGTCATACTCGGGACATTCCGACTCTGGCCAAGGTCAAAGTACCAGGAGATGCTCCAGTTATTAAAGCATCAGGTGGATGGGATTTCACTCTCATCCTAACAGGTACTGTATCAATGGTAGTACTGTATAACTGGTATTGTAATTTTTTTTCTTGTTTCAAACTGTGATTTAATGTTAACAGCTATAGGTTTTCACCTGTTAAGCCATAGTTAAGCAAATACGATCACCTTTACAGATTGCTGTGACTTTAGTTGCTTTGAAGATGTTAAACTCCCAGCAAAATGAAATAAGATCCTGATTCAGAATGTTCTTGTAAAGTAGGGGAAGCAGTGAAATACCACATAGTAATTTAGGTGATCAGAATTAGTAACATCAAGTGAAAATAGGGAAAAGAAAAAAGGAAAAAAGAACAAAACTGAGGGGGAAATTATCAAACAAATATTCTAATTGATAGCAATGTGAAATTATGATTTTCAAATGAAATGGTGGAAAGTATTCACAAAACAGTTGTAAATACAATAAGATTGATATCTAGGTACCATAAAAGGACAAGATATATCATCATGTTGTTAGGTTTTTCCCTGTGGAAGTGTTCACAAATCCTTTTGACATTAGTATTTAACAAAGCTTTCTAACCCTGTTTTTGCTGTGGTAAAATGTAAAAATTAAAACAGGTTGCTAAAATGCTCACAAATAATGTTTCCGAATTCCAAGGTATGAAAGTTATCAATGTGTCCAAACTATGATCAACAGGGAAAGGAGAGCTATTTGCAATGGGGTCAAATGCCTTTGGACAGTTGGGAATGCCTGGTTCGAACCAAGTCTCACTGCCGGTAATGTTTTTGATTGACTGTATTTACATTGAAAATTATAAATCTGTTTTATATAAAAAGAAAAAAAGCTTATAAAAACTTTTGTATTGATGGAAAGAAAACCTTTTCAATTTGGCAGACACATGACTTTTTTCTCTTTAATATCAAAATCACTGCAAAATTTTGTCAGCTTCAGCCAAGTAGGTTTGAAGTTCTTTTGAAATGTTCTAGAAACAATTTGAATATTCCCTTTGAAAATGTTTCAATAGCGTAACTTAAACTACATCAACTAATACATAGATAAACTGTTCTCTGTATGCCCAAGTTAACAAAAGTAGCTGTAAGATATGATGCTGAAAAGATTATTTTACACTTAAATTTTAGTAAATATATTTGTATGCATGGTAGTGGGAATAAATCTTTCTATTTATAGGTCAAAGTACAGATACCAGACGATGAGAAAGTTGCTGATGTTGATGCAGGACTCAGACATGTAGTCATGGTAACAGGTCAGAAACACTAGCACATCAGAATATAAAAATAGTGATGTCTTTGTTGGATGTTCTGCTGATTATTATGCTATTAATTAATTTATACAATTTGGAAATATTTAGAGATAAAATGCTAAATGAGTCATATATATTAATATAAATTCAGAGGATTTTTATATTTTGTATAGATAGAGGAAATGTGTACTGCTGGGGTGCGGGACGAAAGGGTCAGTGTGGAGTTTTAATAGACAAAAAAGCACCAGCAAAACTTGTGAGTCCAGCTCCAGGTTGGTACACGTCTAATGGATGATCTGTGCATCAAGTAAGGGGAAACAACTCTATTAGTTTTTAACAAAATCAATGGAAAAGCTGCTTATATATTTCCCATGAAACGGATCTTATACTACAAGTTTTGTTAATTTATACAGAGATTTTGGAAAGGATTGAAACAAGTATGATAATATTAAGAGAATAGCTTTATCAATAAATGTGCAAGTAAAAAGTTTTTTTTACATATTTGAAATTTTTACAATTTTCCTTGAAATACCCTATTAGCACTATGGACTTCGATAAAACTTTAGTTGCATACAACAAATTTACATCAGCAGAAGTGTAAAGATAATAGCATGTTTTATGCCTTTTATCCAGTGACAATATCAGAAACAGAGAGACGTGTGTGCTCAGTTGTGGCAGGATCTCAACATTCTGTTGCAGTCACAGGTTTGTAATTAGTAAAACATTTTGGAATTTCTCCTGAGTTTACTTTACCATGAATAAATTTGAAATAGAAATAAACATGATTTTCATAAAGAATACATAATCATGATATCAGGTCATCAATCATTTTTAAAACCAAATTAATCTTTAGAAGGATCAACCTTCAACTGTAAAATAAATGTTTTTAATAAAACAATATAGTAATATACTTTGTCGTCAAACAGAATTTGTCAATTTAAGATCATACACCTTCATCAATAATTAAACACCTTCAACATTAATTATAGATAATGGCGATATGTATTTGTGGGGCTGTAACAAATATGGTCAGTGTCTTGTGGATCCTAGTCAGTGTCCTTCTGTTTTGACCCCCATACCTGCCCCTCCCCGGGACTGGACATTGACACACCTTAGCAGTGGATGGACACATCTGTTAGCAAGGACAGGTATTGTGATTGATGTCACTCCTACAGCCATTTCAGAACTGTAATAATAGAATCACATTTTACATGTACTACAATTATTGTATGTTTTCACAACAGCAATAGATGCTACTTGGTAGTTATTTAATGGACAATAGGTAAACATGATATTTTTAAAACTTGGGACAATTAATCCATTTATTCCCAATCTGATAAGTTTATCAAAAAAATGTAATTAATTACAGCTGAAACTCGTGTAGATGTGATCAGCCATTTCTCGAATATACTCTAGAATACAAACAACTGAAAACATAAAATTAAAGCTCTAAGCTTGTTTTTCATATCCCATACATATTATATGTATGTGTTATATTATTGATGATTGAATAAAAATATTGTTTAAACCTTAAGTATTAGTTATTAAACTGGTCGTTTGAAAGTAAAGTTCATTTTAGTCAAATGCTTCAAACATTTTACATGGTGCTGGTAATATTTTACCTTTGATGATACAAACTTGGGACCATTCAGTGCTATCTATGTGGTCAATTAAAATATATCAAATTATTTCTTATCGATGTTTTTCTTCCATGTATAGCTGAAGGTAAATTATACAGCTGGGGCAGAGGTGACTATGGACAGCTGGGAAGGTCATGTGATGGGTCATGTGATCATATCCCAGCCAGGATACTTGGTCTGCCATCAGTTCAAATTGTATCTTGTGGATCAGAACACAACCTAGCAGTCAGTGGTAAGAATGTTTCAGAACAGATCCTACAGTAAAATGATAATTTGAGATTTCTCATAAATTTTTAAGACAAAATTTTGATCAAGATTTTCTAAAATCATGTACCAGTATAAATATTTATCAGAACTCATCAGACAATACATTTACTATAAGTGGTATTTTCAAATGTCACTGCTTATACTCAAACCCATAAAAATCATTTCCTTTTGTCTAACAGTCTTATCCAGTTCTAAAGTACTTTACTTGTACATATCTCTGTTGCCGTCTTCAGGAGAATATCAAGAAGTGAGAGTTTACGTATCTTACTGATTTAAATAAGGTTCATCCAGTGATCAGGGACGTTTGTTTTATTTGTTGTTATAGACGATAGATTGGCGTACTCCTGGGGATGGAATGAGCATGGTATCTGTGGAACAGGCGATGAAGAAAATGTTCACAAACCTCAATCAGTTTCAGCACTCTCGAAAACCAAGGTCAAATGCCTTGGATGTGGAAATGGACATTCTTTGGTGTTTGGCTCTGAAATAACTTAATGCACAAAAATAAACTTAATTTGTTTTAAATGATAACAATGTACTTGTTTTTTTACATTCCTAATCATTAATTATATTCTCTTAATGTCAGTTTCACATGTGATCTATTTACATGGTCAAGAGTAAGAATTTTGGCATCATCACTTCACATTTCAATCATAATGGAACCAAATATACAAGAAAATGCTCAAAATTGTCTGTGTTTCAACTAGTTAAAATTGATACATATAACTAAACTTTCAGTGCCAATGCTGTACAAATTTCTCAAAAAATTAAATAATCTTGGTAGATGATTTTATAGTGGATACTGCACATACCTGTCATCAAGGCAACCAAGGTTTGATTCCTAATAAACAGCATCTCCTATAGTCTGGTACTCTAAATGGGACAATTTCAAAAAGTCCTGAAACACTGATTGGTTCTTCTCTAAAGTTGAAAACACATTTGAAAATAAATGAACATTTCAACACAGTGTGAAACTTTAAAGTTTAGGTTTTATTGCAAACAAAAATAATAAAATTATATGTGATACAAGTAAATACATCCTGTTTACTTTTAAATCATGTGATATGTGCATATACATCCTGTATACTTCAAATAATGCGAAGAAGCAACTACTTAATAAAGGACAGTGTAACCAGTGTAAAACCATCTGACAATAGAATTGCTTCTGATAGAAGAAAAACATATACTATGTACCTTTTTATCCTGAATCAAGCCCACGGGAGCTAACATTAATTTCGGACTTGTAGTAGGAGGTTGGGCTTATTAAAGGACAAGAACATTTGTAGGTATTTCTGCAGACACTGATGGGCTTATTACCGGACAGAAAACAACTATTTGATAAATATGGTAATACAGTATCTTAAAAGTAATTCCTTACAAATGATACTTAACGATGTTAGGTTATCTGACAGTGACTTGTATTTAAATACAAAAATTTCAAACTGAAAAAAATTTTCATTTAATGACAGCTTTTAAAATTTTGCACAAGTCAGAAAGTGGCAGCTTAAAAAATAAACTCAAAGTATGTATATAGATTTTTTCACTAGAAATATATGTACTACCAATTTCCAAGACATTCTGTGGTTTGCCAATGAACAAAACATCAACTTGTCTCTAGTACAAGTAATCTAACCCCTTATCAGCTGACTAGGTGTTTCTACTTCTTGTTTTACAAATAAAAGTTTAAAACAATATGAACAACATCACAAGATTTTGTGTCTGTTTATAAATTGCTTCTACTGGTATTAAAGCCATTTGTTGACTTTATTAAGTGATAAGACAAAGGATAATTTATTTAGATAAATTCAACATAAACTGCTTGGAAATTCATGCCGACTTCATCATCACTCCCATTTGTGAATAATTGGCTCCTGCAGAAGTCAATCATTAAAGTTATTGACCAACTAAGAATTTGATCATGATGAGGTAGCCTTTCTATTTATTGTATATGTACAAATATAAAACAACCTTTTTATGGCAATGATTGCCATTTCAATAAATGAAACAAGATATTAATACTGTGGCAGTACTAGCTATTGAACTTTGCTTATCAAAGGAAAACAACAGTAGTATTATAAAGTACAACTTGACTAGAAATATTTAACATATCTGGTGCATGATATTAGAAATCTCCTTGTCATAGACTAGTAAGTTCTGAAGTTAAAGCAAATCACTATAAAACCATTCCTCAACACTACTACCCATGATCACGGAATCCAGTATTTCCAGTGAAATGACAAGTGAATAGTCTTTTTCACTCGGAAATCTTAATGGCTCTTAATCCTCTACTTTTCTACATGTTTAGTTTTAAACCAACAAAGGATATGATAATTTTTAAAGACATCTTTAGTAAAGCAGAAGAGTATGTAAAGTAAAACCTCAAATATAAATATAGAAATACGAAGAAACAAGTTGATACTATTCATTAAATCATATGGGACCAAAGGAAAATACTCAACAAATATCAAACAGCTTTTCTTAACAATAAAACCTCAATTTTTTGCAGTAAACTGTTAGCATAGTGTTAACACACATGTACCAGAAGTGGTACTGCTAGTAATGCATGTGTTTTAATTTCACCTCCACAAATCCTGTTCTACAATATGCCATTTCTTCCTCACTCTAGTCATCAGCATAGACAGTAGTTTGGGTTGGGTGATCCGATACCTTTGGCTCTCTACCAGGGTAATCATCTCATACAAGAAAAGAATATCAACTTAATTCCTCTACTTTGCCCAAAATAATTAAACCTGTGACTCAAAAAAGGAGACAGGCTTCTTTTAAGACAATATAGCATATATATTCCGCCTGAAATTACAAAAGATATGGGTGGGCTTATCTCTGATAAATAGATTAGAGTCTGATTAAGTCCTTCTCAAAATGGTGGGAAACTTGGCTAGTTTCCTCAGATACTCCTTGAACAAATACTTATGATCACTGTGTGTTTAACTAATCACATTTTAATTGCACATCACCGTCCTCTATATGTTCAATGGAAAAGAACTAAAAAATGTGGCCAATAAATATCTTTCTTTTCACCTTTTTTCTCCCACAAAAACAACAGAAATACTAACAATGAAATAGGTATAACAAACAATTAGGCTAATTACAGTCTCCCATTAAATGTGAAATTATACGCAAAACACTTTTTATTGGATGTAAGTCAAAGGTTAAAATGAAGGTCAAAGTTACCCACTTTTGATAAATGCCAAGGTCAACCCATATACCAAACTGAAGTTCCAGTGATTAGTAGAGAAGATGATAGAGCCCAAACTTTTCTTAAATGTAGGTCAAAGATCAAAGTGACACTGTTGCCAGGCAACATCCTGCCTCACTAATACCCAAAGAATGAAGTTCCAATGAAAAGAAGAGATAGAGTCTAAACAAGATAGTGGAAAGACAGACACAACACAAAACTCTTTTCTCTGTGTGGGACTAACTAATACAGCATATCAAAACCATATAGTACAACAAAGCAAGTAAAAATATTGTTGACAAACAAAATGCATGACTGTTGAGCTCCTGTAAATAATTTTCTAATGGTAGAACACATCTGGTAGTAAGTCAACAGTTTTTACTGAACACACAACTTGGTCAAAATATTGAACACACCATTTGGTAACAAATATTTCTCTAATAGAAAAGACAATAATAATAGATAATATTTTATCAATAAATTAATTATCTTTGAATGAACAAATTAAGTAACTAATCATAGGGACTTTCAATCATAAGCATGACATGTATATATAATGTCTAATTCTAATATTGCATATCTTTCTATTTTTTACATATCAAGTGCTACCCTGTATATTATTGATACTGAACTTTAAATAAGCTCATAATGATGAAAATGCCCATAGTGAAATTAAGCCCCACATGGAATTATTTGGTATGAAGAAGATCCTGAATTTACACTTACCTGGTAATCAAGTGGTTTAAGCTGATTACCAAACTGTTTCAGTATATTACAAAGTACAACAGAGAGCTAGATGCTGGTTGAAATATGAATGTTGGATTATAAGATGGTTTAGTTTAAACATTTAATAGGGTAAAACAAAGTTTAAATATCACTGGTAATTGGATGCATTGAATTTTAACATGGTAGAGCTTAAACAGACTCTTAATGACATGGTTTTGGTTTTAAACAGTTTACAGGTTATTGCATAAGAACAGGAACACATGTTATCATATCTGATCAATTTAGACTTCAATCATTAACAATGAATGAGGAATAAATATGGTTACGTCATGCATTAATCAAGTTGAGACACAATTTCTATTTATGATAATGAATTATTCATAACTCAAGAAAATATTTTAATCATTGCTTTCCTCCCTTACATGATTCCATAATATTAATGTATTATATATTACCAACAAAAAAAATTTTGATTAATTTTAAAAAGTTTTAAAACAGATGTTTTAATTATCAACCTCTCCATTACCTTTGAAAAAGCTAATAATGTAAATTATAATATTTTAGTAGCAGTTAGCAGTAGTTATTCTAAAACTGCCACTCTTAATGATTACGAGGGATCTATGATTACATTTAATGTTTTTCAGAAACAGTTTTGAACAAAAAGTATTTGTATGTACGAGGCTCTTAGTGTATGAAAACTGGGCTAAGATTGTTACATGAAAATAAAATCTAGCATGGAAATTATCTAATAGTTCAATAGACGCTTATCAAATAAAAAGTGTGATGTATTTAATTAGCCACACGAAAAGTGCACAGGACATCTCAAAGTCAAAATATACAAAAGAAATTACTTCATGGAGAAAATAACCCAGTAAGTAAGGAGACATATTCATTTAAAGAGTTTCTGGAATTCCAGGAAGAAAGCTGAAAATTTATTGAAAATGAAATATGTTTTTTTCATTAACACAAAATACAATTGATCAGTTTCACAGACAATTGTTATTCACTTAAAATTATAGGTTGTGAAAAAATTTCTTCATACCCTGTATTATCCTCCTTTTTGATAACAGATCTAAACTTCTACAATATTGATGTTCAATGATAATTTCATAGTCGGTATATTAATTTGCACAAAGACATATGACACAGTGTATGGATTAATCAAACTCAAGATTAATTGAATGCAAAACAACTAGTACCTCAAATAGGAGATTATTTACACTCTTAAAAGTTAAAAAAGTACAAGGATTTCCCCCTCTCTCAACACACATCATGTTTGGTCCCATTATCATATCATTTCAATATACTACATACACAGACAGATATAATCCACCATTATAATAAGTCATAGAGGATGTAACACTCTGTCTATTCTAGCACTAAGAAACAAAACACAACTTCATAAAACACCGAAAAAACATTATTTATAACATATCCACCTTTCACACCTGACCCAAGTTTTGTACTTTCAAACTTAAGGACTACCAGTTAAAAATGCTGTTTCCTTAAGAAAACACTTTTTTTCTCGTAACACAAAAATTATGTAGAGATTCAACTTCCTTTTCAAAAACTGAGGGCAAAGTTCCCGCTTCTGCAGCACAAA